CGTTGCTACGTTTCTGTTTGATTCTCAAGGTAGATTATCTAACTTTCGGTTACGTTAACAACAAAATAACATTCGTCGAAAAAAAAACGTGCATATTCAATTACAAAAAATAAAATGCCTATTTCATCTTTCCTCTTTCGACGGGATTTTATTACATTTGCAATCTAAACCTACAAATAAAAATTCCTTTTTTTTCTTTCTGTTCGTTCTGCCAGACTTTTTCTTCCTGATGTTTAAAAATGTTGTTATGAGAACGATATTTACTTCTGACGGGTGTTGTGTTTTTTTTCTTCTAAGCATAAGAATAAAACCAGTTATCTTTAAATAGCTAATATGTCACAACGATTAGAACGAAGAAAATGTTCATCAGTATTATCAAGTCGTAAACAAAAAACGAAATCAGGTAGATTTAAAATTCAGAAAAATATTTTATTATGAATTTAATTTTTTCAAGCAAAAGTAATAACTACACGAACAAATAGAATTTTTATAAATTCTAATCAATGGCTTTTACCAGAAACAGAAGAATATTTAAGAAGAAATGATAGACAAGAAACTCATACAACAATCATAGAATATGAAGAGGAACAACAAGGTTAATGAGATGAATTTCCTCTAGGAAATAATTTTTGTTTTCCTTTTCTTTCTTTTAGTTACTCCAATATCATTAACAAAGAAAATTCCGTAAAATTTTTTAATAATACTAAAACTAATCAGTAGTTTATGATTTTTTTTAAATAGAACACCGTTTGATGAAGTTAAATCATATTTAAAAAAGAATAGTTTGGTTACAAAAGGTTTAACTATATTTGATGTACTTTATCCAACAACGATAACAATAAAAGAACCAACGCATATTCAAATTATTGATCGTTATGTACTTTCTAAAGTTTGGGATGATGTAAGAATTTCTATATTTGTATATTTAATAATATAATATGTTTTGTTCGTACTAAGATTTTACCATTAGCATATGGATCATATGCTGGCAAACTTCGATTAGTTAATCATTATGCTGTTAATTTAGAAAAATATGAAATGGACCTTAAAGAGTTAATTTCTGAATATCATCAGTAAGATATAAAATAAATTGACATAAATTCCATAATCGCTTTTATTCTTTTAAAGATTTATTTCGAGATTTATTTGGAAAAATTTGAATGATGAAGATAAAAAACAGTAAGTAATTCATGATTCTATGATAAAGTTAAAAAAAATTATTTAATTTAGAGTTACGCCCACTATTTATTGGATGAGTATATCACAAGAAGGACAAGATAGGTTAGTTAAAATTATATTTAACTTTTCTATTTCTATTTATTATTTATTTTATATAGCCTAGCTCGTGAAATTACCAAAGATGAATATATAAATCAAAAGTAATACATATATATATTTTTATAATTAAAGAATTAATTAATTATTTAGTTCATTGGAAATATTTGCATGGAAAAAATTAAGTATCGATGAGCAAAATGCGTAAATAATACTTGAGAAATTTTAATAAGTTTAATTTGTTTGTGATTGTCATAGTTTATTACAAAAACCTGTTGTTTATAATGAAACAACTCAAATTGTATTAAAAAATGTGTTAAAAAATGCTAAAGCTGAATCAGTTTTAAAAGGAGTTTCACATATGGATGTTGAAATAAAACGTGCTGTAAAATTTTTACAAATTTCAACTGATTTACGTCATCATCAAAAATTAGCTGTGGTAAATTTTGTAATATTTAATTACAAATAAAAAAAAAGAATGTTTATCTTTCTATTAGAATGAATCGAAATCAACTGTTACTCAAACGACAATCATTAAATATAAAAAAACAACCAATATAAATATCAATATACGAGTTCTAGCTCGTTATGGTCCTGATGGTTATTTCTATATTGGTACATTACAAAAATCTGAAAATGGACAATTGATTGTTTTTTTTGATATGGATGTTGAAGGAGAAGCAGTTATATATATTCGTTTACCGACAAGTTTATCAAGTAATCAATCAAATTTATTTCTAAACGATTGTGTACTTGTTCGTCAAATGAGAGAAACAGAAGAATATTGGGCACCCGGTTTAGTAATAGGTCTTCCAGTATCATTTACTTTACCATCGCCTTTATATATGGTACAAGTATATGATCCATTTTCAAAACAAGTAGGAATCAAAACAGAAAAAAAAAGAAGAGATTATTTTTTTTTGCTTTAGATTTATGTACATCGAAAGGATATGATTAGAATAACTGTTCCACTTTTTCAAAACAGTACTCGTTATCTTCAAAATCTATAGTAAATTTTATTTTTTCTTAATCTTATTTTCTATTTTAATATGTTCTTTAGTCAAAATTCTGGAAGAAATGATATTTTTATTAATTTTCAAGGACCGAATCAACCACCTTCTACTCCTGCTCCAGGTCTATCTGAAGCTGATATTAAATGTATATATCATATCTTAACATTTGTTGTTTTTTTCGTCTAATAATTTTATATCCTAGCTATTCTTGACAAAATTCTCAAATCATTAATAGAAAAAATTGAACATCGTAATAAAGTACATCATAAACGTTATCATGAACTTAAAATAGTAAATAATAAACAAAAAAGAAAATTTCATAATTATTTTAATTCATAGACCATAGAAGATCATACGCGTGTGATTAGAATTATACAAGAACAATTATCAAAACAACCAGCTCGTCGGTATCCTCCTTATCCTGCTGATGTACCAACTTCACCGATTAATCCTCCATCATCAGGACCAACAACTGATACTGATACTTCTTCTGAAAGGACTCCGACTCCACCACCAACTCCTAGACTTAAACCTGGTACAAAAGTGTATGCAGTATGGTCTAATGATGATGGACTTGTTTATAAGGTTCGTTGAACAAAATAATTATTTCATATTTCGAAAATAGATATATCAATTGAGATATAATTCTATTTCATCAAAATGAAACTTCCTTTTATTGAATGAAAATCTAAGTGAGCGTATAATATTAAATTACTTCTCAATTTTGCTTATTAACAATGAATCTTTTGATTCTATTTACAGTTCTACTAGTTTATTTCCTTTGAATAGTATACTAAAAAATATCAAATAAAGATTCATGAATGTCTTTGTATAAATAGTATATGTTGAATTAGATTGATTTTCTTTTTTGATTGAACGAACAAATTATTGTTTATTCAGTCTTTTTTTGTATCATGCGAAGTAAATAAATGAAAAGATTCTGTAAACGAGAAGAAATCACAAGAGATTTATATCATGCTTGATTAAAAAATATTATTTTCCTTAGAATTCTATATTAGATGAAAGCAAAGCTTATTATCTATAGGCTTTGAATATTTTGAGAAATTCAATTTTGTTAGCTGTACTATCTCACAATATATATGAATTCTTTGTATTTATTTTAGAGTACTATAGTAGAACCACAGGAATCAGATTATTATGTCATTGAACGAACTGATTTACGAGGTATTCTGAGTATAATACCACGTCGTGATATATTTCTTGAAACAGATCGTTGTCCCCTGAAAAATACCAATGTAAGTTAATTAATAATAATAATTTTTTTCTTATTAAAATCTAATATTTTATGAATAAAGATAAAATCATTTGCTTTGGTTCAATATCCTGATGATTGCCGTAATTGTTTTTGTCCAGCAGTTATTCTTCATCATGATGGAGCGACAACAAAAGTTCGTTTTTATGATTGTTCTATCGACAAAGATCTCAAAAATCACCAACATGTTATACCAATAGAGAAACAACAATTTGAACAGTATGTAACATCTCGTATTGAAAAAGAAAAATCTTTTGAGGATCAACCTACTGTCGGTTTAAATAATCATACAAAAACATTTATGTTAGGTAATCAGAAATACTATTGTTTTATTATCTATATAATTAATACAAATCTTAATTAGGTACGATTACAAAACGTGTTGGAAATGGTCATCAATATTTAATTAAATGGTGTGATGGTTCTGACGATGAACAAAAAGATGAATTTTTATTTCCTGGTGTATTTACTCAACCTGATAATCATCAAGTGAATAATATTGTTTTGGCTATAGATAAAAAGGATTCAATATATAAACCAGCAAAAATTCTATCTATTTCAAATGATCGAAAAAATTTACAAGTTGAATTTCTTAATTTATCATCAAGGTAAAATATTTCATGGAAAATAAATAAGAAAAAGACAAGTTTTCTTTGTTATAGACAAGCAAATGTTCGAGCAACTGCAGCATTTGTAATCAGTGAAGCATATTATAAAAAAATTATCGAGCAAAAACATACACAACATTAATTCCATATACTAAATTCCCTTTATCATATCCATAAATCGTCTCCTCTCTACAAATAAAGCGCCTGTTGATAGAGAAAATTTATTTCTTTGATGTTTATCTATCTGTTTATTTTTAAAAAGAAAAAGAAAAAAGAAGAAGAAGAAAAACCGAAGAAGAAGAAGAAGGAGAACATCAAAATGTTTTTTTTTAAAGTGTTCCTTGTAAATTTACACGTACCATTCTCTTGAATCAACAACAACATTTGATTCATTTGTAGCTAATAATTTTTGTCGATGATGATTCGATGAAGATATTTTTCCACCACAACCACCATTATCATGATTATCTATATGAGGATTTGTAACAAAATTTTTACTTTCATCGATTTTATATGAACCTTCATCACGATTTCGATATTTAATAAAAGCATAAATAATAATTATGATTAAAATAACACTTGCGCTTATACATCCACCTAGTAATGCTATATTAAATGTTCGATTCGTTTCCCGTTGTGTTGTATGAAAACCTGTGACATTTGAAAAAGTTGTTGTTGATAACAGAGAATAAATTGATGTTGTTGTTAGTGGTGTTGTTGAATTATTATAATCACTATCAACAGGACGATTATTTTCATTCGATGACATTAGTGTAGCAATAGTTGGAGATAATGATTGATCGACAGCGAAAAGAACAGCATTGTGATGATGAAATGATGAAGTTTGTTGGGGATTGACAATGTTCGTAAAAAGGAAGCGCGGTGAAGAACGAAGAATAGCAAAACCACTTGATGAATAGTAAGTAGTTTGTTGATGTTCACAATAAGATAGAGGCAATAATGATAAAAATGAAGACGACGAAGTTGATAATAACTGATTGGAAAAGTAAAACTCGTATTGTTGACTATTTGGAATATGTCTAACTAAACATCGAAAATATTATAATTATTTACTTTAACCATAACTAAATATACATAATAATAGTACAAAACAAAAATAATGATGTGTTTTTTTTCTAAGTAAAATCTCGTTATTGTGATGGAAAATGTTGAGAGAGATAGAGAGCAAAATGGATGCTAGTGCTGGCAATTGGATAGAACGCGACAGCGAAACACAGCTAGTGGAAAAGATCCGTTCTCTCCTCTTCTCGTTTTTCTATCTTATATTTTTTTTTGTCTGCCTATAAAAGCAAACGACAACTCTCGCATGGTCTATTGCTACTATTACTCTAGAAGATGACGAGAAAGCAAGGACGACGAGATGTAGAGGAATTATAATAATTTTTTGTGACGCGAACAAGAAAAGGGGAAGACACACGCACACAACATGCACACGCGAACGCACAAGTAACCGTCATTGAAGAGAAATAGAATTCTATCACATCATCATCATGTTATA